CGCGCACATGTGATCGCCCTCCCAAGGCTCCAGGCCATTCGGTGTTGGTTTTGTATTCTTGGCTTCGCCATGTACAGACCCCCCATTGTCTCTGGGAGGGAAATCTCTCAGCTGAAGGCGGACATGCTTTCTGTCTCATGAATAATGTATCTCATTCATATTCCACCCATTCGGGACCTTGCTCAGGTGCTCTGCATTGTGAGTGGCCCGGTGTATTCTGAGTGTGAAAGGTGGTTCTGTTGGGTCGCTTTACTGCTCCCCCACTGCACATCTGCCAGAGTACAGTAAGTAGGGAAAGTCACACCTGTGCATAAAATTCAGTCTGTCCTTCGATTACAAAGTGCTTACAGAGCCAATGCATGCATTGAGAGTGACATAGCAGTAATGTAGGTTATAGAGGTTTACCTGTTTCTTAAATACAATTTACTAACCTAATCAATCATTGAAATTTTATCACCTTTGCTTGCAGTGTTACGTTCATGCACCCATATAAAATAAATAGGTGTCTTGTTCAGGGATACAAGATCAGGGTCTCTGCTGAGACTGGAAGCAATAGCCTTCAGATCCCAACCTTATGCTTTTGGGATTTTGGGCCTGTCAGTTGGATCAACCGTCAGCTGCCATTAATCACATCCGCTCACATTAATAAACATTACAGCTGTTACCCTAGGTTTCCTAGTACAACACACGGTGGTTTTGATTGGCTGTATCCACTGTTAGCCCCTCCCCTTACAGCCATTCTCTTTATGGCCCATTTGAAGGTTAAAGGGATTGTCCTTGGACACAGCTTTGGAGGTTCACCTGGTCTGTGCACAGGCCAGAGCAGGAGGTGGTCCTACAGGGAAGGACACCTGAGACTCGGCTACGTCGGGGCCCTGATGGCGGGGGCGGGGGGGCATCTCGATTACCCCCCACCCATGTCTGTACAGTCCATACAAAGAGACCTTGTGTGAAGGGTTAGCGATTCCGGCCCCCCCCCCTCAGGAGCGAGCAGGTTGAGGACCTGGGAGGAGATGTAATCGAACGGCCTATTAAGGGGGTCCAGTTCCTGCCCCCCTTGTAATGATGGTGTGCGGGGGGGGGGGGGGGGCAGATTCTGGTGGGAGGAGTAGAGGGCTTTGGTGCACAGGGGGCTGGGGGTCAAGTGACTAAGGCGCACTGGGTTTCTGCTGTGTAAGTCAGAGTCTCTCTTGGCTCCACTGGGTGATTCTGAGTCACTCAAGTCACTGATGTCTTTCAGAGCAAAATGAGGGCTCAGGGAAGATATTTATGGCGCTGAGGAAGACCAGACAGAAATCTCGATTAAAATCTCCAGATGGGCCAGCCAAACGCCCCCCTCCCATCACGTTTACAAGGTGCAGCTGGGATGGTTTCCCTCACATACAGCGGGATGTGACTCAGTGATGTAAGCTAAATGCTCTGGGTCCCACTAAATTTATTACTTGAACGTGCCACGATTTACGTGCCTGCGAGTGCCCGCAGGGACACCGGACGACGTTAATTGGTAGGTGAGTGCCATGTCTGCGGCTGGTTAACCTCCAGGCTACACAGCGAAAGGCTGGCTGAGGCGAGCTGATAGCTTAGCGGGCTTAAATCTGCCGTGTGTCGCTCATTTATGAGCCCTGGCTGGAGAGGGATCCCGCAGAGCCGGGTACGTAATCTCTGCCGTTCCTCCTGGGCTGAGGAATATGGGCGGATGAGTCACTCGGCGTCAGGTCTGGGTAACACCGCACTCCACACAATGGTCACAGCGGGGGGCCGAGGGGTCCCATTGACGTGGCAGACGGCAGACTTTACTGGCCCATTGTGTGCATGGTGTCAGGGTAGAGAATGACCCAATAAAGGGATGTGGTAGGGATCTTCATTCCTGGCTGCTTTCTCTGCTGTTTTTTATACCCCATAAACACTGAGACGTCCTTTACTGGGGTGGGTGTTGGTGAAGGCATGTGAAAAATAGCAGGTAGGGTAGTAGTTCAGGACACTGCTTCATAACCTGCAGGTTCAAAGCACTCATCCTGAGTCGCTAAGGAACTGCATGCAAACTCAGGCAGGCCCATGGATGTTTTGGTTCGGTAGATAATGGGGCATAAGCCAACCGGTATGCAAGCCACGTTCATGATGTAGGGTTTTGCTTCTCTGTGGTATGTACGTCTGTAAGGGAGATGAGTTCAAGGCGGGGGGGGCGGGCTTCTGACTCTTGGTAAGATTTGTACCGAGAGCCCAAGTTCAAATGGGGGGGTTCTAGTGAGGAGGTTTGGTGACCAAAGTGGTGTTTATCTAGCCATGCAGCAAGAGATCAGTGACTTTTTGGAGAATGGTTTTGATGAAGAGGAAAGTATTGTTACATTTTATTGTATTACTGTTTATGTATGTGTGTGTATATATAATGTTAAACTGTGTTTTTCTGAGCGAATATAAACACAAGGCTCAGATAAACAGCCTTAAGTGTGATTTTCGTTTGCACTGTCCCACAGGATCCATTGTTCTGATCCAGGGCGCTCTAAGGAATGCGCCTTCGTGTTCCGGCAGATATGGATCCGCCTGGTCGGGTATCCGATGCCAGCATTCCTGTGCATTCTGATTCATTCGCGTTTTCATTTGTCATTTGGCACTGTCCCCATTAAGGTGGTGCCACAGGTTGAAGGGACTTGATAGAGTTTGCTGTGGCTGCACAGAACCATTGTTTTTCGGTCCTGAATAGCTGGGGCTTGTTACATTGTTTTTAACTTGTGTTAAGTGTGCCCTCTTTTTCCTGTTATTTATTAGTTAAATTTTATGGTCTATTTTTGAACACATGCATGAAATCACATATTGATAACTTGAATGTTTCTGATGAAACACCATAATATCCCACAATTCTTTTCTGCCTCCACCACTTCTTTCCCTCCTTTTATTGTGGGTAAAGTGTGGTTTAGTGTGGCTATAGTACTGTAGGTGCACATCGTGTTTGGGCAGGACGGTGCTTCCTCACATTTCAGGATTCTCCCCAAATGTCCCGACAACACAGCTGGGCACATCCCAGCCCCCGGCAGCTGTCAGGCTGAGTACTGTGATTGTTTACCTTCACGCCAACAACTCAAAACCATAAATCTGTCAAACACCACACTGCATCAGCACAGTGTCATAAACCACATCTGGAATTTGCTGGAACCTAACGGTTTAGTGTTGGGAGAATGCGAGTAACATTCATGTTACAAATAAATGAAATATCTGAAGACCCCGCTTTTAAATTCCTGCAGTGTGTTCGGCAGCCGCGACCCAAGTGTTCTCTTCCCTCTCTGCGTGAGAGAAGGCGCGGCAGTGCCTTTAAGAGACTGGTACCTTGAATCCTGGGCAGGTCAGTCTGCCCACCCTGACACTGCCACCACAAGCAATAATTAATCCATCAACATAGCGGCAGCGGAGTAATTATGAAGAATTCCATCTTAAGAGTAGGCCTCTTTGATCTTTTTAACCGATGCACCCAAGGATATATAGGTCACTTGTTGAAATACTCGGGTTGATAACATAAAATAAAGAGCATGAAACGATGATTGTAATGCCTTTGTAGTCGATTTATCTCTCAAATTATATTCATTATTATGAATAGATAATGCAAGAACATAGGATCTGTTAAATGGAGCGATATCATGACGGCTTTTCCTTTACTGGAGGTAAAAGGCCTGCACTGAGTATCATCATTTAGCTGGGATAAATCAAAATGCATGAAATTGCATGAAAACTGGCAAACATAGTGGTGACAAGTGAAAGGACAGCCACAGCCGCTGATCTGGTGCAGCTGATTGCATTGCAACAATCCAAGTTGAGCTTTTACTAGATTTTTCTGGACAGGTGGGGAGAGTATGTAGCGGAAGATTGTAGAGGTTGGGGGATATGGGGGGGGGGGGGGCGGGGCTGTCCAGGGAATACATTGGTGCTGTTCAAACGGCATCTAGTTTTAATTGATCATTTAATTAGTTTTTTAAAATAAATACTTACTATGACGAACCGGCACCATGTCATCGCTGTACTGTGCCGTGACATAATCTTCCCGGGATCGGCTCCAGATTGCTGTAACTGCAGAAACAGAAAAGGGGTTTTCAGACAAATCAATGAGTCCATTATGCAATGAAAAGACATTTATTAAATGGTGTTACAGCTTTTCCCATCTCACCTTCTTGTTCCCTTCAGTACATTAAAGGCTGCTATTTAAAAATAAAAAGGGGGGGAGACACTTTACTCATTCACTTCAGTTTATTTTTATGTGTGTGTGTTTGTATATGGTTTCCCAGAAGCACTCACTGAGGAGAGTGTGGATTTTCATTTTGCGCCGCTCCTGTTGATTAGAGACCTGAAGCTTGCAGCACCAATGCCTTCCGGAGCTTTCCGTACTGTCTCATTGAATTTCATCCTCTTATTCTCTCTGCATCGGATCCCTAAACGCTACAAGTGTCGCTGTCACCACTATGATTTATCACAGACACTCGAGTCGCGTCCGACGGAGATTAAGGGGACCCGCTTGCTTATTGACGTCGCGCCACTCGCCCAAACGGGGGCGCATTTCTCAATGTGCACACGGCAACCATCACCATGACATGACACCATGACCTGTCACCAATCCAGTGTTTTTTATTTCCTGTCTCTATAAACTCCACTTCCTGTTTCTTGTGACCGCTCGTGAGTCGGGCTCGGCGACATCTGAATGGATGTGATGAGCTTGTGTATTCAGGCGCCCCTTTGTGACCTTCCTGACCTCCTGTTGCAGTTCGCCACCTGCACCTCGCTGCTCCAAGACGGAGGGGCTTGCTTGGGTTGGGTTACAGGCGTTCAGGTTTGAAGGCTGGTCAGAACAGGTCAGACCCTTTATGAGCTCGAGGTCTGACGTGCGTTTGAGTTCCTTAGTTCCTGCTTTATTGCATAATTTTTAATTAAAGTGGTCACCCACAACTTGCTCTTCAGGAACCTGACAAATTCGAGACCCTGTAGTTCACAAAAATGTTGTTATCCCCCCCCCCTCCCCCGACACACTCAAGCAAAGTTATTTATGCCTTTGTCTGCCCATCTGTACAGCTGCAGAATTTACTGGAACAATTCAGGTTAAGTACCCGCCTGAGGGTACACCAGCTGACCCCGCCCAGGACCAACAACAGGCCTTTTGCCTTTAGCTGATGGGTAATAAGTTATTTGACTGTTTAGTTTCATTCTTCTGTTTTGTAGATGAGTGATGCAGGGGTCCTGTCTGCCTGTCGGGGATTTTATCCTGTAGAGCAATACAGTTTTTGACCTACCTAGCTACACCCCCCCCGATCTCAATTTCCTTCACTTTGATATGGTTTTGATATGGCTTCCTCTGTGTGGGGGCAGAGGGGGGGCTCCCGGGGGTAGTTGTTTTAGAGGCTTAAACAGCAGAGATGCTACTTGGACTGTCCCTTTTGTAATTCCTGGCTTGTTTAGGGCTGGTCCTGAAGTGTGGGGCTTTGGTGAGTCTTACAGTCTCACGCGAAAGTGGTGGTAGATTCCTGAGTATCTCGGACCTGTGGCCTGGTGGCCCGTGTGTGATGTCGTTGGTGTGTGTATGTGAGGGGGGCAGCTGCCACAAAGAGGGTCGACTCTTCAGCTGTTCAGAATGCGATTCCTTGAGGGCTTATGTTTGGAGGACATGGTGTTTCCCCCCAAATTCAGGAGTTAATTTGCTTCTGATGACCTTTGTGGGTTTGGGGTCAAAGGTTAAAGCGCGGCTGTCCGGAAGCCACTTTGTTAGCGCTATACCACCGCTCATTGAAGACACGTGTTTCCTGCATGTTGAATGAGTGTGAGCTGTTCGTGTTTAGAGAAATGCATTGTAGGGCTTCAGAATAATTAGTTTACTGGTGTCTTATTGAGTTGCATAAAAATCAACAACAGATGTCATCTCGGTGGCATGTTGTAACTTCATCTCCTCATCGGATTATATTTTAAGCCACTTTTATTCTTGCACTTTTAAATTTACTGTAGACAATTTGTGTGCCTCTTAGAGTATTCAAGATGGTCAAGCCCACACAGGTAGACTGGGGAGAGGTTCAGTATGTATGTATGTATGTGTGTATGTATGTGTGTATGTGTGTGTGTTTGATGAATGTAATTAGTCATCAGGGAGGGTCAGTCATATTCTGCTGTGAGTTTTACACCCTGCCCAGCTGGCTGTGCTCCTCCCACACTGACCCAGTCATCCAATCAGAGCACAGTAGCATGTAGGTAGGGGTGTGACTGTAGTGCTGCATGCTCTGTGTGAAGTGTCTCATCACAGCCGGGATTGTAGGAGTGCAGGTGAGGTCTGTGCTTTATGGTTGCTTTTTCTTTGTCCTGAGCTGTGTGGCCCTCAGTGTTGCTGTTAAACATTCTCATCAAATGGGTCCAAGTGTGCAAAACTCCACCCTGGATATGGACAGTTATCATTCACCACTGTCACAGAATGACATTGGGGACGGCCTGTTCTAATGTCGACTCCACCAGCCAGCAAAATGTGAAATTGCAGTGATCAGAAAGGGTGAGAACGCTCATATGCTGGGATTGTGTGTCGTGCAGAAAAGTCCCGTGCCATTGAATCCAGTACCGAGACCTACTCTCAGCTGTGTAAGTGTGTATGTTTCACTGCTTTTCACACAGTCAGACTGAACAAGTGCATACTTTAAACAGATTAACAGTGAGGGCTTTTCTGTGTTTGTGTAGCCTGGAAGAGCTGTTTGCTCAGTGACTCTGCTTTGGCCTTGGAGGGCCAGAAAATGTCATTCTTGAGAGATTGGTGTCTGATCTGTACTGTGGGGCTGTGCACCGTGCAAGGCGTATAAATGCCTGCCTCTATATTGTTTGTTCAGTCAGGGGTTTTGTAATCTTATCCAGGCTGCTGGCATTTTTCCGCCAACTGTTGTCTCTAAAACAAGGTTTGATCAGCCAGTCTGGGATGATCCCGGTAACCTGCGCTTTCCAGATCACAAAGCAGACGTCCATACACGGACGTGGAAATGATAATGGGACTGAGAGTAGGTATGAGGACCCACCCTGCCCCCCCCCCCCCCCCCCCCCACACAGAAAAAAGATGCTGCTGTTTTCTTTGCAAACTCAGGTGCATGTGTGATTGCTTTTTATGGATCTCAGGTTGTAGGTTAAAAGGCTGTTTTTTTTTTTTTCCTACCATGAATTTGTATTTTTTTTAAGGTGGAAACATGACCCTGCATTCAAGACTGTGAGGTTGGGCTGAGCAGTTAAAATAGTACATCACCTGTCAGCTGTAACCAACAGCCTCGACGCTGTAAGGAGAGGCCAGACCTGTTTAGCTGGAAGGCGGCTGAAACTGAGGGTAATATTTGGAATCGGGCACAAAGGGGGGCAGCTATGTTTTCTGTGAGCGAGTGTCTGCAGCATGTGATTTACTGCACTATCCGACGGTTTGGCCTCACGCCCTGAAACCTGAAGATCCCGGCCGTGGCTCAGGCACATTGCAGGAATACCTCTGGGCTGCCCTGGAGGACCTCCGATCCGTCCCAGCTGCCTTCTGTAGTGCATGCTGGGATGCCTTCTGCGTGTGGCCCACCATGATGCATTACTGGAATTAAACTGGTCTGGACATTAGTTCTAAAACCTCAGAACGTATGACAGCTATCTGAGCAGTCTCTTCCTACAGATGGTTTTTGCCCTATTGATATATAGCGAGATGGACACCCCTCAGTTTGGGTGAATCTACAGGCCGCTGCGGAACAAGCCAGGTCGGAGTTCATCGTCATGCAAACAGCCAGGGTGCCATAGTTTCCAGGTTGGTTAGAGTGAGTCATGCCTTGTACGATAGTGACAATGCCAATCACAACAAAAAACCCTGCCCTCATCATACCAATGTGCTGCAGTTTTTACATTGAATTTGGCAGAAAGGATTAATCTGTTAGCTGCATGCTTGGATTTTATGACATTATATTGTGTATCTTAGTGTGTGTGTGTGTGTGTGTGTGTGTGTGTGTGTGTGTGTGTGTGTGTCTAATATATATATATATAATGTAAATTTTATATTCTAATATTCTACAAAATCTGTTTTACTAGCCCTATTTGGTGTTTGTTTATTGGATGGCTGTAGGTATATCACCTGTGCAGGGACAGCAGCTGAAATTTAGCGTACAGCTAATTCTGGGTTGGGAAGCACACTATTGTGCCTGCTTAATAGACATACACAGGTCAAGGTATGTGTACAGCACTTGTTTTGTTAGCGTGTTAGCGCTGCATTGTTGTGTCAGGTGCTATGTATGTGAAGATATTTTGTTAGTGTGTTAGTACCTGACATGACAATGCAACGCTATGTATGCAAAGGTGTTTTGTTAGCGCTGCATTGTTGTCAGGTGCAATGTATATGAAGCCGTTTTGTTAGCGCTGCATTGTCATGTTGGGCATTTCTCTGTGTCATGGCTGGGATCCATTAGACACCAGCAGAGCACATCGTTTATATTCCTGGCTTTTCTCTGAGATGTGTCAGTTTGCATTGTGCTGTATTACAGAGGGGGCGGGGGAATGGGGAGGGGGGGGGGTCGCATTCACTATTCATCAGCAAACCTGCCAGTCATTCCATAGCTGTGGAGATTTTGGTTCCGGATGCGCTGGGCGGACCAGACGGTGCCGCTGGGTTTACTTTCCCATGGGGCAAGGCTCCACGGTACCACCCACCTCGGGCCATATGTTGACCCCTGGATGGTTGCCAGTGCCCACACTGTGTGACGGCGGGTTGTCCCTGTCGGTGCCTCCTGCTCCTCCTCCTCCCCCCGTTACAGACTGAGACGTCTGGGAATTAACGCGCCCCTTTGACACCCGGCCTTCACCCTGGCCGACGCCAACACCATCCCTGTTACGGCTCCATTCACGCAGCCTCGTTTGACAGACAACGGCTGGCACGGCGGTCTGACCATGAATGCGGGGCAGGGCCATGGGTGCTGAGGTGGAGCGCAACCCAAGGCCTTTCCTGGGACACCTTCATGCGGTGTCGTCACACAGAAAGTTCCAGAAAAGTGCTGCCATTGAAAGGAACACGATTTGCCCTCCTCTAGCCCAGTCCTGCATAAAGTCTTGTTAATAGGGATTGTTTTCAGGAGAGACTTTGTGCGCAGTGGTTTTCTTTGCAGCTCTTTGTCATCGTTGACATATTTGTGGTTCAGTCATAAGAACATAAGTACATAAGAAATTTACAAACGAGAGATCCTTACATGCTGAATCTGTGGCTGACTGCCTGAGGTCAGAGGTCAAAGGCTGGAGATTAGAGGGTTAAGGGGCACTGTGGAGAATTGGGTGGTTAAGGGCGCTGCAGAGAGTTAAGGGCGCTGCAGAGAGTTAAGGGCGCTGCAGAGAGTTAAGGGCGCTGCAGAGAGTTAAGGGCGCTGCAGAGAGTTAAGGGCACTGCGGAGAATCGGGGGGTTAAGGGCACTGCA